GTAAATGCACAGATATGTGTGTATTCACATCACTGTTCTTGTGTAATGTTACTAATGTCATGTGTGGAATATTATATTGTTGAAAGTTTGAGTCGTTGGCCTTTGTAATGTGAATTGATCTTTTTTTTTTTGTACATTTACTAGAAGAAAGGTGTGAGGAAGGATGTATTTCAGTTGTTTGCCGAGAAAATAAGGGACAACAAGGGGTTGGAATCAACATGGGCTGGTGTTACAAAAAAAAAAAGAGTCGTATACTTTAGAGGCAAATATTTTGTCAGCTTCTTAAAGAATCACCCCGAGTGTAAAGAGATTCTTAAAGAAGATAAAGACCTTGACGCGGAAGATATTGGTAATGTGTTGTTGGAAAGGAACGTTCTTGTCCGTTGTGATCGTGTTACTAAAACTGTTTGTCCCGGGAAGAAAAAGCTCTCTACTTAGCCTGCTCATCTTGAGATTTATCGTCTAAGTTTATTTGGTCTTGGTTCATATGATGAACTGTTGTTTATTTCTCAAGTATTTAAGGTTTATTTTTAATCTTTGTAATGTGCAGGAAAATCAAGGTTTTCTCTGAAACTGATGCGTTTTTTGCATGGACGTTTGAGAAAAGGCATCCACTGTGGCGAACGCTTCTGTCCTTTTGGCTAATTTGTAAGTTAAATGGCGAGAGAGACTAGAAAAGGATATAGTTATGACTTATGGCTCTTGATTATTGGGGGAGGGAATGAACATTACATGATGCTACGTTTTTGTTTCTTTAACTATGGGGTACTTAGCTGGGAACAATAATAAATAAGTGGCAGGGTTTGCTTCTTTTTTAATTTAGCTTGGGATCGTGATCTGGAGTACTACGTAACTAAAAGCCACTATAACTATCCTCACGATTTGTACATCTACTCTGTAATAACTGTTCTTCCCTGACATTGCAGGTTACGTAGATCAGGTTAATCATTCCTAGNATAGGGGGTTGGTTACACCTACAACCAAAATGGAAACCAAGAGTTTCATGGTTCAAAAATGCTGAATCTCGTCTGAATCATCATTTGTCAGGACTATTTGGGGTAAGCTCCTTGGCTTGGACAGGTCATTTAGTACATGTCGCTATTCCTGCATCCAGGGGGGAATATGTTCGATGGAATAATTTTTTAAGTGTATTACTGCATCCCCAAGGGTTAGGCCCACTTTTTACGGGTCAGTGGAATCTGTATGCTCAAAACCCCGATTCAAGTAGTCATTTATTTGGTACCTCCCAAGGATCAGGAACTGCCATTCTAACCCTTCTTGGGGGATTCCACCCACAAACGCAAAGTTTATGGCTAACCGATATGGCACGCGATGAATTTATGGGAACCACACTTCTCTTCCTTGATGAAAAGGTAATGACATCGTCGATCTATCAATACTTATCTATTACAAACTGCCTTTAATCGATCATCTAGCTCTTTGTTCAAATATATAATCTGCTTCAGTCTGCAGAATTTTGTTGACTATGACTTCATCCCCACCGGTCGCGCCTATCACTATCGTCCATCTTTGGAATCCGGTTCGATTGTAAAATTCGATCGGTTTGAATTTTCATGATGCACTAACATGTACAAGTTACTGATCATCTATTCTTCATTCGCTTCACCCCAGCAACAACTATTGATGAATTCCAGAAGCCTCCTCCTGTGTCCACCACCAAATATTTATGCTTAGGCAGTTCGACCATCTCCAAGTTTTAGCGAACACCAACTTAGAACTCCATATATAATATTATATTGTAATTTGATTTAGATTTCTACTTCCAGAGGGGAGCAATGTTTGACAAGACACACAGCAGATGGAGTGAAGATGAATCTTAACCAAACGACTTGGCTTTACAAATAAGCTAGAGACAACATCAATGATAGAGTAAGATGTGATCAAGGATTCCTAAGAAAACTTTCATATATGTTATTTATTTTCCCGTGTGGGCACTGATTTATCTTGGAAGTTCTAACAAACAATCCATTGTTGCACGTATACAAACGATAAATCATATTCTTTAGCAGAACCGTTAGTTGATGAAAATTTAGATAATGACAATGTTTAAAATTTTGGATCTGGCATAGTGAAGTTAATGGTGTAATTTTTGTTAGGCATGTTAGCAGATCAAAAATAAAAATTTGCAAGGGAATGAATTTCAGATCAACGCTTTAACACCTGAGTTAAAAAATTTAAAATGCCAAATCAAAAACACTAATGTCATTAATTATTAAATATTTAACTAAAACCAAAAAAATTCTCTTGGTGCACGTTAGAATCTAGTATATATATTTATGACTACCTTAATAAATTTAAATTATATGTATACTTAGTAAGATATTATTAAATATGTTTAGCATCTTTGTAAAAATTTTGAAATACCTTCCTGAGCTTGACATCAAAATTTTATAAAGACTAGATCCCTTTTCAGCGCTACATGCGGATTATGTATTTAATATTTTTTAAAAAAAAATAATTTGTACTATCATGCCCATTGAAGTATTTGAGTTTATGTACTTTAATTAATTTAGTATTGAAAAATATATAAAAATATATCAAAGAAATACCATTAAGATTTTTAATACCTAAATTTTTTATTATCCAATTTCATACCTAAATTAAATATTTATTTATTTTATTACAGTTAATTTTAAAATTGTACTCATTTTAATACCGAAATTACTTATAAGTTCGAATAAAAATTTAAAAAAAATCTTCAAAATTGATCAAAATAAATCTTAAATTTTCTATTTTTATTTTATATTATAGGAATAAAGTATCTATACTGTGGATCAAATTTAAAACTATATTATTAGTTGTAGTTTACATTTAAAATTTAGTTTTCTTTCTGAAGTTTAAAATTAATTAATGTATTTATTTAAATAATTTCTAAATTTAATATTTTATCCACCACTTAGTTAATTTATTCGTAAACTTTAAATTAAATTTGAAAATTCTCAGATTTATTTTTATTTTAATTTTTTTAAGTTTTGTTTGGAATTTATTTAAGTTTTTTATTAAAATGAGTTAGGTTGGGTAGTAAAATGAGAACATATATTAAAGTGAGTAAATTAATTATTTGAAATATTAAACCGATATCAAATAAGTTAGGATATTAAAAATTGTGAGAAAATTTAGTGAAAGTAATTTTACAGGATTTTCTCTTTATTATTTGGAATATGAATTTTTTTTCTCTTGTGCCACATATTTTCTGTTATTTTAAAATAGGATTAATATTTAAACTCTAGAAAATGATTACCATAACTAACACACCAAAGGATGAGAAACACATGTTGTTCTTCTTCTTTGCCATGTACTCTGCATATTTAGTATTTGGTGTAATGTTGAGTTTTTTTATTATATAGTTATTGAACTATACATTTTCAAGTTAGAAATTTTTATAATTATTTTTCAAATTTTCTTTTTCAAATTTTATTTATTTCGAATTTTCATTTTTCGATTTTTTTTTAAAAATATTCATTTCCAAATTCAAAAAAAAAATTAAAATATTTTTTAAAAGGTAAGTATTTATTTATATATTTATTAATATCTTATACCTCATCTTTCAAAATAATATCCCTTAAATCTAAACTTTACGTTTAGATTAGTTAATTCTATGATTATAAGTATCTATTTAATTTTTAAAAATTGAGGGTAAATGTACCTAATGTAAATATAAACATTTCTATTCAGAATGTGGTGGTTTAGACAATTGGGACCAAAATATAATAATAATAATAATAATAATAATAATAATAAAAATTATGAAAAATGCATAAATTTAGATAACATTAAGATTCATACTTGTTTTACAACAATTTTATCTACGTATATTACTATTCTTTTAAGAAATTATAACGACACATTAATATAGTGTCAATATAAGCCCACAATTATATATATGTTTCTTTTAATTTTCACACATTTTAACAAAACAATATTTTTTTTATCCTATTTAAGATGTACACTACATATTAATCTCATATCTTAAAATTTATAAGAGACAATGAATAACCATACATGATGCATCATGTGCTTTAGCATGAATTTGTTATCAGAAGCTTTTTTCTTATAAATTAAAGTTGGTTTACAAATTTTTATAAAATAAAAATCTTGAGTTCAGTGTTTTTCTATTCAACTTGGATGTTTTTTTCTCAAGTTGGAGGTTTATAGCCTTAAAGAAGTATTTGGTGATATATTTAGGTCGGTTATGTTCTGTATCTTAGTGTATTTAAATGTATGTACATATAAGTGTTATCACGATGACAAACGTGAATAAGAAGATGGTGGTTAAGAGTGGGAGGTAATCAAAGGGAGTAAGGGTGGTGAGAACGGGAGCAAGCTCTACAACAATGACAATGGTGGGATTTGACGACATCTGGTGTGGAGCGGCATCTGTAGGAGGGCAGAAGGAGGAAGAAGAATTAATTCCTACAGAAAAGAAGAGTCGTTTATTAAGTGTTGTGAAATATTAAGAGAATCAAAAGATAAGAAAAAAAAGAATTGTTAATTAAGTGTTGTGAAATACCGATTTTTCTTGTATGTGAGAGATTAATAAAGGGTTTTAAGATAAGTTTCAGTTACTGGTATGGTGGTTTATCTTTATAAATTATTATTTGTTTTTAGATGTTAAGTTTCTGTATTGAACTATATAATTTATATATATTGAAAACAGTGACAATTAAAATTATTAAAATGAAATTTAAATTATTCAAATGTAAGGTGAAGAAATAATGAAAGCACACATATTACACTAATCAAAATATTATTACAGCAAAAAAAAAATTGGTTTAAACTGAAAATCCTTTTAAATTTTGATTTCTTAACTATTCATTCCCTCTATCTTGTGGATTTGTATTACTTAATTAATGGCTTGCATTTTATTTTTCTAAGTTTTAGCAATAACACTAATATTTTTAGAAGTATGCATGAAAAAGTTTGTTGATAAAAATTTCAACTTAAAAAACATTGGCCCTAAAAAATATTTTTGTAAATACACTGATAAAAGGTTAACAGTTAATTGTTATTGCATATTTTCTGAAAATCCATAAAAGTTGAGTAGAAGAGAAGAATTTTCATAAGGTTTTTATGTCCTCAAGTTCAGATATCTCTTGCTAAATACTCTCTCTATTACGTATTAAGTGTTATAATAGAGAAAAAATTCGTTATAAAATAAGTGTCATTTTCAGTTTTCAATGTAAAATTTATTAATTTCGTTATATAGTTAATTTTTCTATTGGTTAAAATATTGTTAAGTGTATATGTAATTATTTTATTTTATATAGAAAATATACAAAATTAATTGTATTTGAAATCCGAAATCTATCTATAAATACCAGAAAGTCAGCATCTGACAAATCATCAATTTTAAATCGTTTTAACGTCCTTTGTACTATATGCTGTGAAAAACATTTCTCAAATTGCAGCTACCCGAGTAAACCAGCACTACCAAAGATTGCGTACAAAAACAATAACTGAATTGATTTTAATTGCTTATTCCTTTGTTTGCAAAAGCGATGGGCATAACGAATGCATTGATTCAGAATTAATGAGTTAACAAAAATCTAA